TATAAAAGATAATTGGATTGAGCTGGCCCTAATGCATTTTGAGGCTCCATTTTGAGGCCCCCACCTGAATGTTTAAACAGACTGAGATCGGTTCAGGATTTGGTCAAATAAGTTAAACTTTGGACCAATTTGTTTGGCCCAACTTAAATTTACAATTTTAATTGTGTCTAACGCATAAAATTACATAAATAAATACTAGCAAACTACAAATGGACCTCACATGATTTTTTTTAAATTGAGATTTTGACAATAAATGGACAAAAGATTAATTTAGGATTTCGTAGATAAAAAGCTTGTTAGGATACGTTTTAAAAGTTAAAAAGACAAAAATGTGATTTGGCCTCTAAATTTATCATTTCGGTAATAAATTTTACTTTTATCCACTCAATGAAATAGTGGAGCCATCCACCTATTCAAATTATCAAAAGGAAAAAAAATAAAGGAAATATAATTTTTTTAATTTGCTATATATCTATATATATATATGTGTGTGTGTGTGTACGTGTGTGTACATTTTGAATTTGAGAGTGAAGGATTTGAATTCCAGACTTTAAGGTAGAATCATACATGATTTTTTTACTAAGCTATGCTTTAAACCACTATTTTCACTACATTCAAACATCTTTGAGTTTTATATCTAAAATAGGAATGAGATAACCATCCGTCATCTCACTTAAGCAAATGAAAAAAATGTACATAAAATCAAGTTAATTAGTAAGGGTATATTGGACATAGAGATCGTTGGAAAGAAGATTAATTTACTATACAAAGATGTAACATTTTCGTCTCAATCCGAACGGCTATAAGGTAAATACTTTTTCTTTTTTTAATCTTTTTTTTTAATTAGAAAAGGGTCCACTAGGCCTCCTTCAAACTATTAATTCTTTCCCTTTCATAAAATACATACCATTAAATAAGACATTAGTTTAATTTTGTGACACAATGCATTACGTCTGATTTTCGTTCATGTATTTGTTTAATTTTGAAAAACGCCAAATGTATTGGTAAATCCCTCTTCCATTCTATAAGGTTTTGGACTGAGGAAAGAAAATAATGGACAGCGACATGGTACCAAACCAAGTCGCATGGCACTTTTGGCAACTTCATTGGTGTTTATGCAACAAAAACATGTAACTGAAACTTCTAAATCATAATAGATCGATTTTCCATAAACACGTCTTGCAATATTATAAGAACAACTTGTGGATATGAAATCATAAAAATGAAGAAAATCAACCACCCCAAGGTATATGCTTTACTAAAACGAAAAGATGCTAAATTTGATGATTGACCCACTATTTCAACAATATGAGAAATACATGATGGAGATGTCATGATGATTGAGATGCATGTGTTGACCCTGAAACAGTGTTGTATTATTGAAATTTGATGATGACAAACAACTTGTGTTGTTCAATGTTGCTCATTTGTTATGGGTTTTGATAAAATGGATTGACAAGCACAGGGAGGTTCTGAGCAGAAGATTATTGAAACCAGAAAAGATCAGATGACGCGGGCTTCGTTTTTTAGCTTGTCGATCAGCTCATCGACTGAAGAGACGATAATGCCTGCTTTTCTCTTTGGAGGCTCGGTCACTTGAACGACCTCCAGGTTGGATTTGATCTCGACGTTCAGATCCTGCGGAGTGAATTTCTTGATGACCTTTGATTTCGCTTTCATTATGTTGGGGAGCGTTGCGTACCTCGGTTGGTTCAGCCTCAAATCAGTGCTGCAAGAGAGCCAGAGCCGTGATTTTCACAAATTACAACACATAAAAATGCATATGCGGCATGGACTATGAACATCACTAGCATCCGACTAGCTTCTTTCAAGGCGAAGGGAGATTGTAAGAGAAATGTTAGTCTAGTGTAATAAATTTCTAACGTAAATTTGCTGAGGAAGGAACTTCGATATAAATTGATGTGGGCTATAATTTACCATTAATTGGAAGTCTCCTTTTGAATTATGGTTCAATGATAATAAATAACCATAAAGCAAAGGTTGGCCGCATATTTTGAAAGATCAGTTGTCCTCATTATAGGGCTTAAGAACAAAGACAAATCTAAACCAGGTTTTAATAAGGTGTCAATAAAGCAGTCAAGAAAAGATGATGAAACTCGGGTTCCTGACAAATTGTTAGGATCCGTTAATGACTTGGGAACTTGTTTGGTTAGTGGGCTGGTAGAGTTAGTAGGAATTAGTATAAATAAATGTTTTAGTAGCTCACTAAGGGAGGCTGTGATTTTGAGAGTTTTGGGAGACTAAGATTAGGGAGAGTTGGTGGTCTCTCGAATACCATCAAAGTTAGGCGTTCTCCGGAGTCCTCGAATACTCCAGTCTATCCTAAGCTTTCTTTACGTTTTTCTTAGTTTGCTTGTAAAATTCTTTGAGCTAGTGTTGGTGATGATCAATAAAACTACTCTGATTGCCTTCTATTTTTGTTCTTCTGTGTGAAAATTGAGCTGTGAGAATCAGGTTCCTAAAAATTTGGTATCTGAGCAATCGATTCTCGGAAAAAAAAACAAACTGGAAAAAAAAAATTACAAAGAAAAGGTGAGAAGAGTCTAGAATCGTGGGGTTTCGAGAACCAGAGCCGCCGACCATACGAATTGCGCCGGCAAGCGACGGCGGAGGGACGGCCAGAACTAGAATCACGCGTGATTCAGGAAGATTGGAGCCATTTGTCGTGATCTGGTGCTGAGACGTTCAGATCTGAGAAGAACGACGGCCCTTGGCTGATGCAAACTGGTCTGCAAATCCAACGCCGGCGAACAACACTAGAGATGTGACCTGAGATGGGCGATTCATGTCGGCGTGGGACAAAGGTGGAGATGCGAACTGTTTGGAGCGATTTTTCGCGACCCGGAGCTAGATCGACAAGATCTGAAGTGAACAACAGTAGATTCGCGACGGGATCGAGCGTAGATGGGCCTGGGTTTTGCAATGCCGGTGCTTTCAAAGGTGATTCCGGCCGGATTTGGACCGGGTGTCGCGATTCCAGTGCTTCTGAGGCTAATTCCGGCTGAATTCGGACTAGGTCACGCGAGTTCGGCCCGATTTGGGCGGATTTCGATGAAATTAGGGTTGGTTCCTGAAATTCCAGCAGCCCTAGGTCTGGGTTTTGTGATTCTGATGTGGTTGAGACTGATTCCGATGATGTTTGGATTGGGCCTCGAACTTACAGCAAGATTAGAGCCAATTACAACTAAATATGGATTGGATCTTCAAGTTTTGGCATGACTGGGGCTAGGTTTGGGCGATTTGAGTTGGGTGAGGGAGATTGGGTTTTACAATCTGATTGAGAGAGCGAATTGGGTCTTCTCGATTTCGAGTCAGAATCAATCCAAGGGTTTCGAGTAGGGAGAGGGAAAGGTGGCACGACACCCTATAGGAGGACCGAACGGATCAACGATTTCAACGAATGGATATGCCATTTTTCGCCGGAGAAGACCCTGATGAGTGGGTTTTTAGAGCTGAACGATACTTTTTGTTTTATAGAATGACGAACAATGAGAAAATCCATATTGCTGAAATGGCTATGAAAGGTGATGCTTTGGCTCGGTATCGATGGCAGGATGCTCGTTGCCCGTTCTACAGTTAAAATGAATTGAAGACTCATTTGCTTAAACATTTCATATTGTCATCCGATGAGGCCTTACATGAGAGTTTCTAACGTCAAGAGGGTATTATGGCTGACTATAGACGACAATTCAAGGTACCTGCCAAACCTGGGAAAGAGATTTCAAATTCGGTTTTAGAGAGAGTTGTCATTACAAAATTGGAAGTCAATAAAGAGCAAATGGTAGGCAGTTTAAGCGGGTTGCTTTCAGCTCAAACAATAGATGTTTCAGATCAAATGGATGTTCAAGGAGACTTGACTGAAGAATTTTGATGACAAGGTGGACCAAGGCATTGAAAATGAAGTTGGTTTTCAAGCTGGTGCTAGTAATGAGGGGCTTCAAGATATGGGAAACAAGATGTCAATGATATCAAAATTTTCCAAGGATGTTACTATAGAGTCGGAGTTTGTTGTACCAGTGAAAGAAGTTAACAGTGGAGTTCAAGCAGGTTGCTTCCAGCTCAAACAACAGATGTTTCAGATCAAATGGATGTTCAAGGAGACTTGACTATGAAGAATTTTGATGGCAAGGTGGACCAAGGCATTGAAAATGAAGTTGGTTTTCAATATGGTGCTAGTAATGAGGAGCTTCAAGATATGGGAAACAAGATGTCAATGATATCAAAATTTTCCAAGGATGTTACTATAGAGTCAGAGTTTGCTGCACTAGTGAAAGAAGTTAACAGTGGAGTCTATTCTTGTATTTTAAAAGACGAATTTGATTCTGTTTGCAGCAATTCTGGGGCTGTTGACAAAGGAATGGAGAGTGTACACTTGCAGCTGCCCTCCATTGTTGATGTTCTGACAAACAACAAGGCAGCTTTCTCTGGCGTGGTGGAACATGCACTGCAGCAAGATAACGCTTGTGGGATGAAGGTTTTTGTTATAAATGAATTGTTTGAGCTGACCAACAAGGTCTTCCATTACTACAAGGATGATTTTGAGGCTGAGCTTCATGATTTCGCTGTCTTTAAAGTGGTTCTTAATTTCAGCTCCAAACAAAAGTGTGAAGTTGAAAAAATAAAGTTAACAAGAACATTTGAAGCAAGTTCTGTACGAATCATTCCGTTCGACATTCCAAGATCCAAGCTCATCAAGATTGGAAGGAAGTGGAGTCACACGGCTACGATTACTTAACACCTTGAAGACAAGGTGTTTCTTTAGGGCGGGGGTAATGTTAGGATCAGTTAACGACTTTGAAACTTGTTTGGTTAGTGGGCTGATAGAGTTAGAAAGAATTAGTATAAATAAAGGGCTTAGTAGCTCACTAGGGGAGGTTGTGATTTTGAGAGTTTTGGGAGACTAAGATTACGGAGAGCTAGTGGTCTCTCGACTACCATCAAATTTAGGAGTTCTCCGGAGTCCTCGAATACTCCAGTCTATCCTAAGCTTTGTTGTAAAATTCTATGAGCTAGTGTTGGTGATGATCAATAAAACTACTCTGATTGCCTTCTATTTTTGTTCTTCTGTGTGAAAATTGAGCTGTGAGAATCAGGTTCCTAACAAATGTTAGGAGCTTGATAGTTAGCAGTTGTTTTTTAGTAGTCTTTTAGTAGTATAAATAAGCGTCTAGTGGCTAATGAGGGGGGGATATCAGATTTGTAGCGAGTGTCTAGTGTTATGCACTATCTTAGAGGTCGGGGGTCCTCGAAACCGCCCATTTATCCTGCAATTTTCCATTTTTAGTATTGTTAATGAAGTTCAGATTTTCGGGTTCCTAACAATGGTATCAGAGCATCGATTCTTAGCCGACATGCTGCATCGACAAGGCTAGTGGAGACCAGATCTCATTCTGGATGGTGGAGAAGACCTAAATCGGCGGATTGACTTGCCGGTTTTCTACGGTGATGGCGCCGACGGTTGGATTATTCGTGTGGAACGAAGCTTTTCAAAGTTTCGTATGACAGATCAGGAGAAATTAGAGGCCGTGGCTGTCCACTTAGAGGCTAAAGCTCTAACCTGGTTTCAATCGGAAGATCGACGATGGCCGTTTTGGAGTTGGTCGGAGTTCATGACGCACTTGCTGCAACGATTTCGTCTCGTACAGAAGATCTCCGTACTTGCGAAGACTGTCGAGGCAATCCATGGCAAGTTGGATCGTTTGGATCAGTTGATGCGCCGCCAAGAAGAGCTTGTGGAGTGCGAACGTACGATGGAGGCACTGGGATCTAGTTGGGCTGAGTGGCGACCAGATCTGGAAATTCCAAGACAGCGGCCAACGCCGGAGAGAGTGCGAAGAGATCCAAGAGTGTGACGAGATCCAGGATCGCACGAGGCCGACGAAGACTTGAACTGTTCTTCGCGATCTGGTGCCAGATCAACCAGATTTGAGGCGAACGGCGGTGGATTTGCGACGAAATCTGAGAACGTCGATGCGATTGGCACTGATTTTTCAAGATCCAGTAAGATTGGGGCTAGATCTGGGAGTTTTGGTGCGAGTTCCGGCGCGGCAGAGGCTAGGCGATTTGGCTACGGTTTGGACCGGGCCTCACGATTCCGGCGTGAAAGGGGTTGATTCCGGTGCTATGCAGGCAGATTCCGGCGGGATTGTAGTGGAGTCCCGCAATTCCGACTCCATTAAGGCTGATCCCGGTGAGATTGGTGTTGTTTTTGAAAATTCCTGCCAAATTTGGAGCAGGCCTCATGATTCTGACGCTATTGAGGTTGTTTCCGACAAGGTTGGGGCTGATTCCGGCTCGGTTTGGACCGGGCCTCACAATTCCGGCGTGAAAGGGGCTGGTTCCGATGCTACGGAGGCAAATTCTGGCGGAATTGGAGTGGGACCCATGAATTTCGACACCCTTAAGGCCGGGTTTTGTGATTTTGACGTCATTGGGGCTAGCTCCGGCGAGATGATGGCTATGATGTGGAATTCCGACGCAAAATCTGGCGATTTTGGGGCTGAATCCCAAAATTCTGTTCGGAAGTGGGTTGGGTCTAGTGTTTTCGGTATGGGCAGAGTCACTTTTGGGGTTGGGCCTCGTAATTACAACGTTAATTGGCCTAATTCTAGTGCAATGGTGGTTGGGCCTCAAAATTCTAACATGTTTAGGACTGGGTATAGTAAGTCTGTGGCTGGGTATGAAGAAATTGGTGACAGAGAGGCTGAAAGGATGAAGACCTGGTTAGCTAAGAAAGAAACTTCTTTGTTAATGATGGATTTGTCAAAAGCTTTTATGGTCATTGATAAGCTTGATTAGGGGGCTCCAACTAAATGGTGGACTTTGTGGTTGCTTTTCAAGATACAAAGAAGATGGAGAAAGTAATTGATTGGCTCCAATTTGAAGACGTGACTTACAAGAACAACATCAATTTGGGGACTCAAATCAAGGAACTAACAAAGCCTTTTGTTCTTAATCATTTAGATGTTATTTTTCAATTTTATTTCTTGATTTTCACCTTGAGGACAAGGTGATTCTTTGGGGCGGGGGTAATGTTAGGAACCAGATAGTTAGCAGTTGTTTTTTAGTAGTCTTTTAGTAGTATAAATAAGGGTCTAGTGGCTAATGAGGGGGGGATGATTAGATTTGTAGAGAGTGTCTAGTGCTGTGCACTATCTTGGAGGGCGGGGCCATTTATCCTGCAATTTTCCATTTTTAGTATTGTTAATAAAGCTCAGATTTTCAGGTTCCTAACACAAATCAACCCCTCCAATATCCGAAACATCGAAACTGAATTAGTGAATCCCTTGATTCAGTATCCAGCTATAGCAGGAAAAATGAATATAGTTTCCACAAATTTGCAGGAAGTGCAGTTCTTCATTTCATTTCAAGAAATAAATATGACTTTCAAAATTTAAATGCATTTGTTGATTCAGTGCACTCATGAAAGAGAAAGAGAAGGCATCACGTAATTATCAGTGCTTGGACACAAAATAGAGATGAAATGACATACGTACGTGATAACTGCTGGCAAGTCTAAAGACAAAGTCTCAAGACCACCATCTACCTCCCTATCCACTGTCACCACCCGGTTATCCTTATCCAGCACAACCTACTGGAAACAAGAAGTCAGAGATCATAATCCTCAGAATGTAGACTCGTACAAAACTCCACACTTATTTCATTGTGTATTCTAGCAGTCTCCGTAAACTTGTTTACATGTTCTACCAAACTGAAGTCATGCCCTCATAATCACTAATATGAGAAACGCAAATTAATTACCAATCACAATACTATAATGTGGGAAACGAAATCCCATAAAGTTAACATGTACACAAAGTAGGCCACTTAACAGATCGATCCAATAAATTCAGGAACTACAAATGCCTAAGATGCATCATTAGTAAAATTCTAAGCACACTTTTAACTAAACTAACTGTTGGAAATCCGGGATTGCATGTCCCAAAATAGACTGTAAATATTAGCAAATTAAGACAGGATTTATGTTTCCTTGTTTAGGAGATTGAATTGTAATTAGTTTCCTAGTTTCCTTTTCTTTTTAGGTTAGTCAAACTTTCCTAGATTGTAAGAACAGCCTCATGTATATATGTGTGTATTCTGATTCAATGGAAAATAAGAATTCTTGAGCAATAATTCTCATGATATCAGAGCCTTCTAGGGTTCTTTATCTCTGAAAGATTTGTTGGGTCTTCATTGCCGCCAACTAAAAATTCTTCTCAGCCTTCATTGCTATTTTTTTCTTGAGCATTTCCAACCTTAAATTGCAATGTGATTTTCTCGGGTGATTCATGTGTCTTTCAGGACTAGGCTACGAGGAGGACGATTGGACTTGCTAAGGTGAAGCACGGCCTTTACTACCTCCAGTTACCTGTCTGTCAAGTGAATAAGGGAAATCACCCAACGCTATCTTTTCTGTCAAGTATCTCTCAATCCAATAAGGCAAAAATTTGGCTTCATCATAGTAGTCTTGGCCATCCTTCTTTTACTACTCTCAGCATGATGTTTCCCTCATTGTTTAAGAATGTTAATGTAAACGAATTTCAATGTGATATTTGTGAAATTGCTAAACACCGACGTGTTTCTTTCCCCTTGAGTAATAAGAGAAGTACTATCGATAACTCTAAGAAATTAGAATTATCTTATGCATTTTTAACTTAAAGTTTGCTTAACCAAGAGTGTATTTCATTGTTTTCTTTGTGTTTTAACTTAAATTTTCTGGTTTTGCACTTTGTCTTGTTTAATTATGTGCTTGTGCTGATTTTGGGTTAAAAAGGAGTCAATTGAATCAAAAAGAGGCTGAGATATGTCTAAGTGTGGTTTTGCAAAATGCAAGACGAAATCAGTGGAGGCAGCAACATTCTTGCAGCATTCTGGGTGCAGCTGGCAAGTGATGACATCAGCGCATTATGTGGAGAAAAAGGACAAAAGCCCATGTGAGCTGAGTGAGTCGTACAGTAGTGTGGACCACTGCATCCCTCATCAAGTGACAACTCAGCCCTCTTGTTGCCCTAGGAAGGAAATGTTTTGTTGCAAGGAGTAAGCAGCCGCCGAGGGTTAAAGAAAGAAAATAGAAAGAGAAAAGGATACGACCACACACCACACACCTCTTATATCATCAAGAAAAGAGAGCACAATACTCCCTCTCTAGAAAAACGTACAGTACATTACCAAGAAAGGAAAAACAAGTACCATAAACGTGAGGAAGAGAAGAAAAAATCAAGGGAGAGAGCTGCAGAGAGTGAATCCGTGGAGAAGGACAAGGAGGAATCTAAAAGATCCAAGATCCAGCTCTTCAATTTTCCCTCTCTCTGTTAGCTTGAATCTTTTGTTATTTTTGATATTGATTAAGACATGGATATTACTGGAAATCTGGTTCTTGTAATTATCATCATGAACTAATTCGTTAAGTTAGATCTACTAATGGAACCAAGGTTGTAAGGATGATGTTTGCTTAAGGAATGTTGATTAATTCTATTCTCTGTTAATCTATGTGTATTTAATGTTCGTTTTTATTTTTGACTGGCCATCAAATGTAGAGTACAAGACTAAGATTAATACTGAAAAAATTAGTTTTAGTTGGATCTTACATAGATGATGCAAGTTCAATACTCTTGCTTAGTTTATTGATTTGTGAATGGTATAGGAATATATTGTTCATCTTGCATAACGAATAGAAATCCGAACTTATTTTGCATTCTGAAACTAGATCCACATAGGAATATGCAAGAAATGGTTGAGGAATTTTTAGACATAATGACTTCGGGAGAATCATATGCATAATAAAAGAGTTTTTGTTAACAGGGAATGCTATAGCATTCTCGTAGCATTCTGCCATCAGACTTGCAACTAAGGGGAAATTAGTAGGTCTAGCTGATTTACATCACTACATACACTCCATTTTTGTATTCTTGATCTTTTGGTTAATCTTTTTTTTACAGTTTATTTTACATTTCTACAATTATAACAATTGGGTAAGTTTTGAACAATGAGTTTGTCACTTAAAACGGGTAAACTAGTTGATTTCTGCATGTACACTTGGTGATTCATTCTCTGTGGGATGATATCCGTACTTTGTACACTTTATTACTTGATTGCGACACGTGCACTTGCGAGCATAAAAATCACGCAACAAGTTTTTGGCGCCGTTGCCGGGGGATTGAAATCATTGAGAATATTTGTAGAAGTCAATTTGTTTTTCGTTTTGTTTGATTTATTCTCATTCATTCAGTTTTTAACTTCTCAGGTTATTATACCGTTTGCATGAATCCACCACTAGACTTGGAATTGCTACCTTTAGATCCTGAAATTGAAAGAACATTCTGAGCTAGGAGAAGGGCACAGCAAGGCTTAACAGGAGTGGGAGAAATGGCAGAAGGGGCAACATGAAACTGTCGAAATATTAGGAGGTTTTTTAGTTATTTAGTTTTTGAATAAACAACCTGATCTAAATGGTTGAGTATCTCAGGTCTAGGGTAGTTAGGATTTTCCTATTTTTGAGGAATCTAGGTTACGTTTGCTTGGTCTATAAATAATCTATGTATTCTGCCAATTATAATCATAATAATAAGAAGAGTTTTTTCCTTCTATCTAAACCTACATGGTATCAGAGCCTCGGCTCTTTAAGAAGGAAAAAATGGTGAAAATGGCGATGACCGGAGCACGTAGAGGCGCCGCCACATCAGATGCAACATCTGAAAATTCTCAGTCCCAAGAATCAATCAATCCAGGTGAATTCGAACACATACCAGGCTCCCGGTTGACGGTGCACAAATTGGATGGCACGAACTATCTCGAGTGGGCGCAATCGATGAAGCTGGCAATTGATGGAAAACGAAGGATGGGCTACTTGACGGGGGCGGCGAAGAAACCTGCTGTTGATGATCCAAAATTGGCTGACTGGGGTTCAAACAATTCCTAGGTTATGTCATGGTTGCTGAACTCAATGGAACCTGCCATAGCGAAACCATATTTATTTCTTCCAACTGCAAAAGATGTTTGGGATGCAGTGAAAGAATGCTACTCAGATTTGGAGAATTCATCACAGATATTCGAATTGAAATCTCAATTGTGGCAGTCTAAGCAAGGAAACCGTAAAGTGACTGTCTACTATAATGAGATGTTGACTCTATGGCAGGAGTTAGATCAGTACAATGATGAAGAATGGGAGAGCCCAAACGATTGTGCAAGATTCAAGAAAAAAGAAGAAAACGATCGGGTGTATGTGTTCTTGGCTGGACTCAATAGAAGCCTAGATGAAGTAAGAGGCAGGATTATCGGGAAGAAACCCCTTCCCTCCCTGCGAGAAACGTTTTCAGAGGTGCGACGGGAGGAGGCCAGACAACATACTATGTTGAAGGATGTGGTCCCTGAAATAGCAACAGAAGCAGATAAACCATGGCACACCAGGGAGACTTGCTGGAAGATACATGGGAAGCCTCCAAATTTGAAGAAAAAACAGACTGGAGATGGTCGTGCATTTCAAACTGCGAATGAAGATTCTCAAGTGGAACAAATCAATTCGGAAACAGCACCATTCACAAAAGAACAAATGGAGCACCTGTATAAGTTTTTTCAATCTCAAAAAATGTCTAATTCTCCTTCTTGTTCATAGCCCAGCAAGGTAACCACTTAGCCCTAACCTGTGTAACCTCAGTTCCCTGGATTATTGACTCCGGAGCCACTGACCATATGACCAGCAATCCAAAGTTTTTTTCTTCATATAATCCGTCTGCACAAAACAAGAAAATCCGCGTTGCAAATGGCTCCCTCTCTGCAATAGCCGGAACAGGATCCATTCCTTTAACTCCTAATCTTATCATTCATAATGTCCTTCACGTCCCAAAGCTTTCTTGCAATCTCTTATCCATTAGTAAATTCACTAAAGATCTGAATTGCACAGCTAACTTCTATCCTTCTCATTGTAAATTTCAGGACCTCACCTCGGGAAAGACGATTGGCAGTGCTAGAGAAAGTGGTGGCCTTTATTTCTTTGAAGATGGATCCAGATCGAATAAAGCTGCACAAAGCACATGTTTTAAGTCTTTCTCAGTGTCTAGTGAGAATGAAATAATTATTTGGCATTTTAGGTTAGGACATCCAAATTTTCATTATCTTAAACTCTTGTTTCCAAAGTTATTTGTTAATAAAGATCCTTCTTCATTTCAGTGTGAAATTTGTGAGTTAGCAAAACACCATCGAACTGTTTTCTTGCCTTTGTCATATAAGCCTTCACAACCTTTTGCACTAATTCACAGTGACGTATGGGGTCCCTCACGGATAACAACTAACGCAAAAAAAAATGGTTTGTGATGTTCATAAATGATCACACTAGGACGAGTTGGGTATACCTGCTAAAAGAAAAATCAGAAGTAGAGGGAGTGTTCAGAATGTTTCATAATATGGTGAAAACACAATTCCAAGCTTCCATTCAGGTATTTAGGAGTGATAATGGCAAAGAGTACTTTAATGAGATCCTAGGGAAATGCTTTGTCGACAAGGGAATCATTCACCAAAGCTCGTGTAGTGATACCCCCCAACAAAATGGGATAGCAGAGCGGAAAAATAAGCACATTTTAGAGGTAGCACGAACAT